TTAGGAAGCGATGTCCTAACTAGTCGTCTTGAGATAACTGGGCCACGTGCCAACAGTTATGTCGTCACTACCTCAGTAAGCGTACTGAAAGGTAGGTCTGGCCGGGCCAATGCCAACGGTCAAGTCAAGAGTCCAGGTAATCGCTGTATTCAACAGGAGGTTGAACTAAGGAATACATGGGTTTTCCTACAGTATATATAGTAACTGGTATAGGGGTTAATACCCAAAGAAGAGAACAATAAGAAAGGACGCGTAAGCCATCCTGTGAGAACGTAACTCAGAGAAATGAGAAATACAAGGGCGCCCATTGGTAGAAGGTGAGTCAAGGAAGATAACGTGTGAGAAGAAGATAGCGTCCATGGGAAGGTCTACTCGGAGAAAGGTACTGTCCAATAGCAATGCTCGGAATGGAAATGGAATGAGATAAGCATGGGAAAATCATAACACCACCCTGTTTGCTACAGAGTCGTTTGAGTCGTACAACCTTGTCATTCGCCTGCGGAGTATTCATTCCACAAAACACGCACCAAGCTTGGATATTGCGCATGCATTTGCACACCTCCATGCCGTCCGACATCTTGTCAGTGGCGGATACCTTATTTGCAGTGTGGCTGGAGAGCCATGGGAACATCCGCGCCAGGCGGGTGCAGGTGTCCGAGCCTTGATGAATGACCGCGAGTTTCGGGAGTTCATGTGCATGACTGCTCTGGATGAGCAGTCCAAAGCGGGTGAGTAAAATTGTGTGTACTGGGTTGAACAGTGTCCTCATGATGTCATGCTGTAGGTCAGTACATTCTGGTTGCAAAGGAAGGAGCCATACCCTGGAACACTACGAAATGCGCAGAAGCAGGTATTGACTGCCCGCTGGCCTCGGAACTGGATACAGTCCTGCGATGCCAGGATCTCACATTAGCAAATGGAGATCGCATCGCACCATCTAAATATGTTGCCTATGGTGAGAAGGACTTACCCAAGGTCGGCCAGGTTCAAGAAATCCTCGTGCACCCAACACACAAGTCCTTGATCGGCATGCTGGTTGTTCCATGTGTTCTTGAATCGGAGATTGAGCCTTACCGTTTTCCTCGCTGCCGGCGTGTTGCAAATGCACAATGTCTCCTGAGTTTTGAGGTGAGAGGGAATGCACCGAGAACTAGCCATCAAAGAATTCTGACCTCTGTCAAGGATATCTTGTGTGCGGTGAGCACGATCCACAACTGTGCTGAACATGGTTGTGTCAGCACTATGACTCGAAATGTCATTCAAGAACGCCAAATTACCATTAACCGAGAGTCTGAGTACTTGCACAGTGTGGAGCCTGAAGATAGACTCTTGAATCTGGCGCAGCTGCGCAGCTCGAGCATAATACAGTCACTCCATCACGTACTCCCAGAACCCGAACACCAGACGTGTCAAGAAATGATCAAAGCAGCGGTGCAGAACCGCAAGGAATGGGATCTTACCCAAAGCAAAGCGAAAGGCAACACATCCGCTAAGAAACGGAAGCAACCCAATGCTCCATCAGCACCTAATCCACACCAAGCGACGCGGGCACGCACCAATGGACAACTCTGCAGCAGTCACATCGAGGAGACTACATCAACAGCTGTCAGTGTCCCAGGTGCTATCCCTTCAGCTGATGTGAGGGACACGTCACAATGTGCAAACAACGCATAGGGCACCGTCAAGAGAGTGGGAGCTCTATGCTCGTGCATCCGACTCCGCAAAGCTCGTATCCCTGGAGCACGCCATCTGCACTGTCCTCGTACTCTGCGGATTCTGGACAACCACGCACGATGCTGGTCAGTCAACAATCACAGGTGTTCGTCCACCGACCCGACCAGTGCAGTGCGATGGACGACGTGGGGAACGGCGCGAGGTGACCGCGCGGAGTTAGAGTGTGGCGTGGACTTCTGTTCTCTGCGTGGATGGAAGCATGATGGCCGGAGTCATTCTCAGCGCATGTTCCGCTCTTGTTTTCTACTTCATACCAATGTTCGACTTTGTTATAGCTACATAATATCATCTAGTCAGTTTTTCTACTGCTATCCCAGTACTTCGGATCGACACAGGGCGGTCGACCAGCCATAACATGTTCCCCTCCGAGAATAGCCCCTTCAATTTGTGATTCGAGTGAAGGTGCGTATGGATCCTGCGAGTCTTCTTCAACCTCGGGGTTTGGACCACGTCTTTCTCCAGGGATACATCTGCCCATAGCCAGCTGTTCATTCAGGATGATGAGCATTCGGTGATATGCACTGACACACAACAATCACCAAGGACCAAAGGAAATAAACCTAAACCCCGTGATATGGGTGAAGGCGGTCCGAGACAACTGAAGGGTATTTAATAGTTCGAGGGGGAAAGGAGGAGTAAGACGCCGTAGGGTAGTCCGTAGGAAGACCTAGAAAAATAAAACAAAACCTTGACGCCTGAAACAAACACTAAGGGACGCTCCGGAGTATTTATCTCCGGAAAGTCGCAGACAAAGTCGCAAACCACGAAACCGAGTGTAGGTTCGGGCCCACGGGAGTAGAAATTGCTAGAGAAACTTGGTTAATTTTATTTCGCTATGTGAGACTCACCGGAGCTAATTGGATCGATGGCGGAGATAATTCACTCGACGAGTCAGGCCTATTGGCAAAGCTAAGATCGGTTATAATTCGCTAAGTTCGACGCTTTCGAACTTCTCGGGTCGCTGAGATCGTAACTCTAATTCTCTGAGATGGTGAAGTCGAAACTTGTTTTTCTGTATGCTACTTTGTACAATTTATACTACAGGAATGGCTTTGCGACCGTTCGGAGATAAATAACAAATAAACGCCG